ATTCACATTATTCTCTTCTTGCTATTTTGAAATATACAATGGAGTATTATAAACTATTGTTCCTCTACTGATCTAACACTGTCTTATTTCTTCTATGACACCATATATTTGTACCCATTAATCAACTTCAGCTGAGGAAATTTCTAAAGTATTGAAGGAATGGTTTGATTCATCCTGATTGCCTAGAGTAAAATGCAAAAGAAGAGAGATGAATTGAAGGAATTGTTAAGCAAAATGGAAACAGAATTTAAAGATTTAGAAAATTCCTAGTCTATATTGTAAAAAAAATAGGGGAGGGGATAAAGGGATGGGGAGTAGGGACAGTGATTGGTGGGATCTCACCTAATGTGCACAATGTGAGGGTGTTCAGCCGCTCCCTGGGTGAAGGGCTCAACTGCAACTCGAACTTTACCTTGGAAATGAAAACAATGTAACCTAAACATTTGTACCCTCATATTAATCTGAAATTAAAAAGTGAGCTTGTTTCAGAGAAAATACCAAGAGATTGTCTGGACTATCACTTCTCAGGGAAACTACCCACAATGTTAACCAGCCATCTTAGCAGGAGCCAGGAATAGAATTTGGACCAAAGGGAATAAGACAGTATGGTAGTGCTACTTGGCTATAAACCTGCTTTATATTCAAGAAAAGGAAAGAATGACCCTGAAGGTGATTCAGAAATCGCTAGGGCTGCCACTTCCATACAGGTCTACAGTGCACAGACCTAGGCGGCAAGCCTGCCTCTACCTTGACTTCAAAGGATGGAATTGACACCCAACAGAAGCACATGGGTGGGGCTGTGAGCTCCCCCCAGTCAAAGAGTGAATCTACCCCATGGGACTGTGGGGTTGCTGCTGCCTCTCCCTTGTGGGCCTGAAGGGCAGAGTATTGAATCAAAGATGATTATTTATGAGCCTTAGAATCTAATGGAATTTGCTTTGCTAGATTTTGGACTTGCTTAGGACTTGTCACCCCGTTTACTCCTTCCAACTTCTCCAAACTGTCTGTACTATCATTGTGTTTTAGTAGCACATAACTTGTCTAGGTTCATAGGTTCACAAGAATTCTGCTTCAAGATAAATAATGGCTGGAGTCTCACCCACATATTGAAATGATATTTAAATGAGACTTTGGACTTCAGACTTTATAGTTGAGTTTAAGTCTGCGATGAGTTCATTTCATTTGAAACTGTTAGGATGGAATGAATGTATCTGGCATGTGAGAAGGGCAAGGATTTCAAGGGTCTGGATTGGAATGATACAGATGGGATTGTGTCCCCTCAAAATATGTTTAAGTCCTTATGCCTAAAAGTATTTGAAGATAGGATCTCTGAGAGTAATTAAGGTTACATGAGGCTATAAGCATGAAGCCCTAATATAGGGTTGGTGGCCTTGTTAGAAGAAAAAGGGAGGTGTGAGCACATGGCAAGAAGTCACTCACAAAGCAAAAGAGGAGGCCTCAGAATGAAACCCACTTGCTGGCACCTTCATCTTGGACATTCCACCCTCAAGAACAGTGTGAAAATAAATTTCTTTGTTTGAGCATTCAGTCTATGGTATTTTGTTATGGTAGCTAAGCAGACTAATATAGCATGTAAAACTCTTGGCATGAAATATGTTATACAGATATATAATATGCATACAAACTGACTTGTGGGAGAAAATGTTTACCACATCTAAAAGGATAAGCAGCACAAGTACTTTAGCAGCACTGATTTTTAATTAAAATTACTATTACCTCCCTATTATACAGAGTAATATAGTGATATAGTCATGTGTGATATAATGACGTTTCAGCTATCAATGAACTGCATATACAATGGTTGTCCCATATAATTATAATGGAGCTGAAAAATTCCTACCACCCAGTGATGTCATGGACATCATAATGTCATAGCCTAATGCATCATTTATGTTTGTGATGATTCTGGTATAAACAAACCCATTGTGCTGCCAGTTGTATAAAAGTATAGCACATACAGCTGGGTGTGGTGGCTCATGTCTATAATCCTAGCACTTTGGGAGGCCCAGGCAAGGGAATTCCTCCAGCTCAGGAGTTTGAGACCAACCTGAGCAAGAGTGAGACCCTCTGCAAGGAATAGAAAAATTAGCCGATGTGCTGTGGGCCCATGTAGTCCCAGTTACTCAGGAGGCTGAGAAAGGAGGATCACTTGAACCCAGGGGTTTGAGGTTGCAGGGAGCTAGGCTGATGCCACAGCTCTCTAGCCTGGACAACAGAGTGAGACTTTGTCTCAAAAAATTAAAAGTATAGCACATACAATTACATATAGCATATGATACTTGATAATGATATTAAATGACAGTGTTACTAGTTTATATATTTACTATACTATACTTTTATAATTATTTTATTTTTATTATTTTTTAAAACATTTACTTTATATTTTGGACAAGATCTCACTCTGTCACCCAAGCTGGAGCATAGTGGTGTTATCATAGCTCACTGCAACCTCAAACTTCTGGGCGTAAGCAATCCTCTTGCCTCAGCTTCCCAAGTAGCTGGGACTACAGGTATGCATCAGCAGGCCTGGTTAATTTAAAAAAATTTTTTTTGTGTGTGTGTGTGTGTGTAGATGTGAAAGGATTTGGAGTCACCAGATAAGGGAGTCTTAGTGCGAGGGATGAAGAGGTTTGACAAAAAAGACTGAGGAACTATGGGAGGAGCCCTTCCGAGTAAACCTCAGGTCCTATTTATTATCACAAAACAGGAAAAAGTAGTTGAAAGTTACTTATCAGACATCAGCATTAAAAAAGGGGGAAATATGGAATGTGTCAGACAGAGACCTCTGCCTTTAGCGTCAAGAGAACTTTGGAATCTACAGAATCTTTACCATAACCATTAGGCCTGGTACTGCCAGACCTCACATAGACATTCTCCCTTGGAGGCCAGTTTTCTAATCTCCTGGATGCACACAACTCACATGCCATTCTCATGATTCTCCAGGTGTCTCAAACAGAAAGTGAGTCTTATGCAAAAGATGAGGGCTCAGCTTCCTCTATAGAGATGGGATCTTGCTATGTTGCTCAGGTTGCTCTTGAACTCCCAGCCTCAAGTGATTCTTCCACCTTAGCCTCCCAATGTACTAAGATTACAGGTGTGAGCCACCATGCCCAGGCTTTTTATCATTGTTTTGGAGTGTACTCCTACTTATCCAAAAAAAAAAAAAAAAAAGTTAGCTGTAAAACATTCTCAGGCAGGTCCTTCAAGAGATATTGCAGAAGAAGGCATTGTTATCATAGGAAATGTGTGTCCCTACCTCTGAAGAACTTATTTTGGGACAAGCTGTGCAAGTGGAATACAGTGACATTGTTTTTTTTTTTTTTTTTTTGAGA